TTTTTTTGGCCATAACTCTACCTTCCAAGAGTGTATAATGTTTTAATTTGCCAGCAGCGGGGCGGGTTAGGATCATTTCTACAGTTTCTCCACCAGAGAGCACTAATAAGTTTACTTTTCAACTAAATTGTCCTGTTAAGACCATATCTTGGTCCCAACTCTCCAGTAACCAGATTCAGGAGGTCCTAATCAAAGATGCTTGTTGTGTATTTACATATATGTATAGTTATTGTTTTGTTTTTGTAACTCTGAAATATCTATTGGGGTTGGACTGTTTCAACTAACATCTGAGCTTGCTATGAAACACATGCTGCCCATTTGAAGAACACAACAATATGTTGCGTCTTTGCTATTTTACGATGATTTCTTTCACTAAAACCTCACATGATTTTCCTTATATGTAACTGGATTTTGATCCCCTTGAGAACGATTGTTCATGTTGATAGAACAGAAGAGAATAGCTCACCAACACACAGAATTAGCACAAGAAAATGTAACCTGTAGAACAAATATGGTACCAAAACAGCACTGAAGTATAAAACTCTACAAATCACAGTTGACATTTCTTTCTGTGATGGATAATATCACAAAATAATAAATTTTGTATAATATAACAGATTCAGAGGTCAGCAAGCTTTTCAGCATCTATCTTAATCTAAAACTTTCTCCCATCTTTTCCACATACAGACCTGCAGAGGGAGCTCAATGTGCTGCAAGCTGTTAGGAATGTGGCTTCTGTGCAGTTGACTGAGGAGAATCAGAGGCAGAGGATTCAGCAGAGGACTGCCGCATGTGTTTATGATAAAAACATGTCGCCATCTGATGAAAGAAGCATACAATACACTACAACAGCAGCTACTTCCACCAGCCTGCAGTCTATACATGCTGACCAAGTGGCCCAGCCCCGGCCCCCGAACAGCCCAGCCAGTGATGTCTTCCAGCTGGCCCCTTTTAAAACGCCAGGAAAAGAAAGCAAGATGGCATTCAGCAGCGCCTCCTTCTCTGTGTCTCATAAACCTGCTGAGGCATCCGATGTTTTCCTCCAGGCACCGTTTGGAAGGCGGCATGAAACCACCAGAGCTGTTCCTAGTAACACTCACATATTAAAGTCTGGTACACAGCACATTCAACCCATCAAACAGTGTCACCTGGTCCCAGTATCATCCCCTCCTGCTCCTCAGTCTCTTGGTATTCAGGCCCCTCGTGTGCACATGGAGACTCCTCTGCTCCAGCAGCCGGTGGCGGTGCACCGGGTCGTCTCCAGGATCGGTCAGCAGGCCGCCGTAGGTTCGGTGGCTGTGGGGCCTCTGCATGCCTGGACCATTGGGGGAAGAGCTCTGGATGACCCGTTTACCGCCGCACCCTTTCAGCCAAGATGCTCTCAGGGGAAACCTTGATTTTATAATCTCCTTTTAAAATATGCCAAGTCAAGAATTTTTTTTTTTCTGTAACTTAAGAAGGAGCCAAAGTGCAGTTCGGTCGAAGTATTACCCAATTTTATAATGTCGTTATACTCTCATTATTACTGCAGTATTAAAATGAGTAAATTATCCTTTTACCATTAATGTACTTGTTTAAACTCAAAGTTCTACCTCAGTCATGTGAGTGCATCATCAGCACTTTACAAACAGTCTGATCTTGGACTGAGAAGTTAAGGTGAACTTGAAGGATCGGTCCTGAACCTAAAACTCAGTTTAGCATCAAAAAGGGTTTAATTAAAGGCCTAATCTGTACTTTTTTTTACTATGTAGATAAGTTTTATTCAAATAATGAATAAAAAGTAGTTATTGTGTATCTCCGTTATCATAATTAAAAATTAGGGTCTGTTTTACTCAGACCTTTACAAACATTACTGTTGTAGGCACTTTTTTTTTAACAAAATCAGAAAACATTAATAGCTTAGAGGTAAAGTTTTTAGTTTTAGTTTTCTAATTCTGTTTTAAATCTTTCTGGTTGTTAACATTTAGATTACGGATTGTGCCTTTAATATCAGTGGTGTCATTGCAGGCCTCTGGTGAATATTCAGCATCGGTGCTGCAAGGGATACCAATATTCAGCTGCAAGCCAAAGATATAATTGGAAGAGAAATATAATGGTGTGAAACAGTTTTCACACAGACAAAAATATTATAAATAAATATTATTATATAATAAATATTTTCAGAAAAGACAGGCAAGTTGCACAAAATCCCAAATGGCTGGTCACTAGAGAGCATTATACTGGAACCAGTATAATGTTAAGATTTGCAAGGGTTTAAATGTCCTTATTTTAAGCCTAATTTACCTGCTTTACAGCTTAATAATTGTATGTTGCTGCTGCCGTTTTCCCACAAACTGCACCAGTGTTACATTTTGTTGTTTTTTGACTGATGTTTGTTTTTGGTCTTTTAATGATACATATCATGTCTGTGGTTCTGATTCACTGAAGTCTTGCAACATAACTCTCAAGAGTTGCTAAAGACCACAAAAGAACCATCATCTCTACCGAGCTTAATTCCTAAGTAAGTTTCTCTTAAAGTGAATTTTGAAAATGCTTCTAATGTTGCTTTATACTTTGGCATAGATGAGGTCTTTTTTGTAAACCATGCTGCCTTTGCTAACAGTATTTGTATATTTCTATATTATCTGGCTATTATTATTGGACATTAGGAAAGGTGACAAGTGAACTTTAAACTGCATTTTATTAAAGGGTTGGAAACATAATGACATCCTGGTTATTTACTCTTCTAAGGCAACCCCTTACCTATATATGATCTTTGTTTCTGGTCTCAAGGAACTTGTCACATGCAATCTTTCTTTCTCACTTGATCTTAACTTGTGCCTCAACTTGTTTCATATTAGGGGATCCGTGATGGTAAAGGCCTGTAGCCAATTTTAAGAAGTTTTACAGAAGACAACAATTCCAGCACTGCAGGGTCTTCAAGGGGCTAAGATGTTGTTTCAGGTCTCTACTGTGCTGATAGACTTGATGATGTTTACTTGAGACAGGGAGGCCAGAGGTCTCTCCAGGAAAGTTTCCAGTTTATCTTCATTTTTAGGCACACCAGATTAGGAGATTAAACAAAATGCAGAGGTAAAATGGAAAAAAAAGATAAAACTATAAACACGAGTGTCTGCTATTTCATGTCAGACTGACCCCCCAATAAACCAGCACAAAAACATGTGTTACAGCGTCAAACTTCAGGAAGAAAAAGGGTAAGTTGAGCTTGTGTGAAAGATGAGCTGCTTGTTTTTATTCAACAATACGTAAAATGTCATGTGGTCTTGGATTTAGTAAGAAATTAATTTTCCTGAACTTTGAACAGGAAGAGCACATGGAGAAAAAAAGGAGAGCATGCTAGGTCATGAGCTGATTTTATTACAGTAAACATGTAGGATTTGTATATGGAAACAGATGTAAAGTTAAACATATTAATGTGCAGTTATCCCCTTATGCTACAGGTTTCAAACTAAACGTTCAGGGATTTAGTGGGTCTAAAATGTTGATGTGATCATTTGAGTCACATTCATACACACTGCACAATGTTCACCATTGTTGTCTTTTTGGAAATGAGAGAATTAATTATATTATATGTTTATTAGACCGACAGAAAAAAAAGACAAACTCTGCCAACACAAAGCTGCAAACAGACAAAAATGTTTAAAAATAGACAAAAATACTTTAAATTGGTCCCTAATGACTTAATTTGCCCACGTCTTTATACTGCAGTTAAATGCTTTTCAATAGAGGCATAATAACACATTTTAGTGACCTCAACTGTCTTTTCGCTGCTCGCTGGTGGACTTGGTAAAGTGTTAAGCTGTGTAAATATCTCTTCCAGAGCTGCATGGCATCATAGTTGGATTTTGATTTTATTGTCTGCCTTCTATCCGACTGCCTCTGCTGCTGGCAGTTTTCTCAGACACGCCTCCATGAGCTCACTGCCCGCAGGACTGCAAGTCTGTCTGCATGCATCTGCAAAAGCATTTCGAAATGAAGAGAAAACTGAAACCAAGAAATACACATGGAAAAGATATAATAGGATTTATTTTGGTAGATCTGAGTGGAATAAAGAGTCAGCTGACTGGCTGCTCTTTGGCTTGTTGCATAATCTCTGCTATCAAGTTACATTTTTTTAGGGAGAGTCTATACACATCTTACCCTACATGGAAACTATTTGCTCCAAACATTTTAAAGTAAATAAATAATTTCACTTTATTCATCCTTATGTTAATCCATCCACATTCTATCTGTATGCACACGTCCTGCAGTGCCAGCAGGGAAGGCAGAGCACAGCAGCCCAGATGTGCTTTTCCATGCAAATTTCTCCAGTTTTTCCATAAGTTTCTAGTGCTGCCCAAAGTCTGTTCATGTGGAGGAGGTATGTGGGGGCATCTTTACCTGGTGTAGCAACCTCAACTGCAGCTCAACTCCTCAAAGACGTGAACCAACCACTCAGCAAAGAAGCCTTATTTTAGTTGTTTGTACCCACGAATACATCTTCAGACAATTGAGAGAAAGGGCACCATTACACTAACAATTTATAAATTCCTTTTAAACACATGCCTTCTGAATTCACACATCTTACTGTATTTGAATGACCATAACACAACACAAGAATACTGTATCTGTATTATCCCTGAGGGGCAATTTGTTGCACAGCCAACAGTAACCATCGTTAGTGTCATTGTTAGGACAAAGTTAAAGTTGTTTTTTAAGTGAAAGGCCCTGCACACCCACACAGGTGTTTTTAATTCCTCTTCCTAACTGGATCTCTGCTCAGGCTGAACATGGGTGGAGCTACACTGAGAAATACATGATATCATTAAACTTTATGCAGTAATAAAAGTCCTATAGGCTGTCTCTGAAATCCCAACTACATGGTGCACTGTATTTACTAGCTGAGTCTGGATTTTGGTCATAGTCTTCTCATAGTAGGAAAAGCACAAGTCTTACTAATAACATTAACAATGGCTCCATTATATTAAAGTGTCAGTGTGACAGTGAGGCAGCATGAATAATACCAGGACCCTGAAACTGAAAGGGAACTCACCCAAAATTAATTTTATTATTTACATGATGAGTGAACAAGGGAGTGGTTTTAGACACATTAATGAATGTTTATATATATAAACAATGTATGTATATTTGGGCTTTTAACTGACAGTGATAGCTGAAGAGTGACAGGATAGGGTTAGAGAGAGAGGGGATGACACGCAGCAAAAAGCCACAGGTCGGGATTTGAATCCATGATCGCTACAGCAGGAACTCCTGGGTACACGGGGCGCCAGCTCTGCCAGGTGAGCAACCAGGGCGCCTCATACTTTTTATAAAGCCTCTGATAATAAGGAATCATAATGATAAGTACAGCAAAAATTGGAAAAACAACGTTTTACTAATTTATTGCACATCATATTGGTATACGAACACATCTTATCACTGCTGTTTGCCATTCTGGCTGCTAAATCAGTCTCAGGGTGATCTTCCAGAGCTGTTCAGTTTTGTCAATGCTACATAATTCAAGCTCCTGACAGTCACACACTGCCAAAGATGTAACTCTTGTGTTTTTAAGAGACAGTTTTACAGATTAAAGTCTGTTTGTGTCTAACATTAGGATTTAATTCCAAGTTGATCATTTTCAACAAAAATGCTCAAGATCAGAAAGATGTAACTTCATTATAGATGTTTTTTAAAAGCTGTCTTATTAAGAATTCATTCTACAGAGAGACAACACAGGCATGACAGTGGTATTGATCTTTTGAAAGTATATTTCCCAAAATGTCAAAATAGTAAAAAAAAGTCCTTTAATCATCCATGGAAATCAAACATGTAATGCAACGTGATGTATACATATATATATATATATCTGTGATTTAATGAACATTCATTCACAAAATATACAGACCTGCATGTATAAAACACATGACGCAGTTGCTGAGCCACTAGATTTTCTGCTGTTTAAACTCATGATTACTGTTTTTCACTGTGCAAAGCAGTACACAAGTAGTTTCAGATCAAAAGATTTATGTCAGGCAAAGGCTAAAATGCAAGTTCATACCACTCCATAGCACATCGCAATGCTTGATGGATTTGTCTGATTTGATATTAGGAAGTCGTGTTCTGAAAAAAATGAATAAATTGCTTAGCTCCAAAAGCATGTAATAGCCAAAGCTGTGCTTGCTTACACTAAATATTCATTTTCTAGACTTAGTCTTAGTTAGAAAGTCTTAGTTCATGGCACATCATGTTTGAGCCACTTGTTGAGGAAAACTTAATTGTTGAAAGTTTCATTTTGCCGGGGTTGAATCAACGGCATTATAAAGTCTCATTAATTCTCATTCTGGACGTAATCAAACAAAGACACAGTGAGAAGGTCTTTTCAGGTTTCCATCCGGAGCTTGGATCCTCCTCCTTAACTTTCTGGTTCTTAATCATCAGTGGTTCTCATGATTGGGGCGTGGAGGAGGGCGTGACGGAGGAGGCGCTCTACACGGGGGAGGACCCTGAGGTGGAGGCGGGAGGGATCCAGTTGGAGACGGGGGTGCGGAGACTGGGCTCATGTTGGCCGGGGGCAGGGCTCTGTTTGGAGGTGGCGTGTACATGGGAGGGGTTGTGGAGGACGGGGGAGGAGTGGAAGGCAGAGGGGGGAGCGTTGAAGTTGGCGAAGGGGGCAAATGGAAGAGGTGGCTGTCGTCTGATGGACGACGCTGGTAACTGTGGGGCAAGGTGTAGACGGGCGTGGAGGGATGGTTGTAGATGGGATAGCGAGGAGCCGGGTAGGATTTGCTCCGAGTGAAGTTTATGCACTTACCCTGTAATAAAGACAAACAAGGTGGTTCAGTGCACAAAAAGCAATCACAGGTTATTGTTTTGTTTATGAACTATGCTACTATACAACTATATGAGTATGTAAAGACAAGGTAAAGAAAGAAACTGCAGTGTATTCCCTGAAAGATTCCTAAATCCATCGTGGCACTGCGATCGGCAGGTTTGAAAGGGCACAGCTTTCAACAGATGGAAAGAGGAAATTCCTCTGTTAGTGAGTGTCATGGAAGGAAACAGCATTCCTGCCAGCCCAGCCGTGCTGACGCTGGGACCTGGAGGAGGCGGGCAGCTTCAACTCCTAATGACTTCTGCAGACAAGAGTATTCATCCAGACAATACTGCAGTTGTTTTTACCTTTGTCCACTCACTGTCCCTCTTGAGGGTTTCCTTAGTCACTATTCCTATGATTTGATGCAGCTTTGGCTTTTTAAAAATGTTTAGTATGTGGAATAACAGCGGTAGATGTCAAGCAGATACGATTTAAATGTGGTTTCTAGTGTGTTTTTTGATCCAAACTTTCCTTATCCCTCATTTCCAGAGGTCATGAATTTGAGCTCTGGCAAATTGTTAAACGTCTGCCTGCCAAAAGTTGACATAGTTACTTCACAATCTTATTAATCGCTTTGTTTTCAATGAATGTGTGCTTATCTTACAGCTGTTAAAAAAAGAGCAGTTTTTCATTACTCCATAGAGGAAATCATAGCAAAACGCCTTGACTTTCTATTATTCTGTTATCTCTGGCTTGTCTCACCTTGTCTCCAGGATGAGGTCGCATCACAGATACTCTGTCATAGCCTTTTCTCAGGAATACACACAAAGCATCCAGTTTTCCCTGCAGAAAGATGACCACAGTTCAAATAAAATATGGTATATTATACCCATGATCTCTGATAACAACCAGAATATTAACATAATTTGTGTGCATTGGCCAGCAGTGCAGCAAAAAACAATCCTTTAAAAACTGAGTTAAATAACAGGCAGAGTTTGAGTGTTTATTTGTGACTCTGCCAGACTGTATCTGCTCCACTTTGTGCTCCAGATGTCTCTCTTTGATTCTTGCATAGGACGCTTTATATGGTAGAGAGACAGATAAACAAAGAATGTATTTTGTCAGGAATAACACCCGCTCAACAGATTCCATATTCAAGGGTTAGCTCAGTTCATGTCTGGTTCTTATTACCATCCATCCAGCTGACTAATGTAGTTAGGAAACTAATTTTATTAACCATTTCCTGGTAGCACATCACTCCCATTAAAACTGAAAAAGAAATATTTCTTGATGGACGATATCATAAGGAATTTCAAAGCAAGTTTTAAAACATCTGGAATTGGCATCGAACTGTACATTACACATGTTAACATTATGTGATCCATGGTGTTAAATACATTTGGTGATAGTTCTACAGCTCTATGACAGCTGGGCATACTGAGGAAGACCAGGAGATTTGAAAGATTTTTTAACATATTAAAGTTATTATTTAACAGGAATCTTAAAGCCAAATCCATGTCATGGATATGACGATTTAAAAAAAGCTTAAAATAAGTCAAATATGAACAGACATCCCGTCAAAAATGACAGACTTAAGATAAGAAAAAAGCAACATGCACAGAATCCCAGAAGTATTGTGTGAATGATTGAGTAAATTAATAAATATCACAATTAAAACGAATGAAAAAGTAAACAACTGGAGAACCTTGATGGGAGAGTACCACTTCTGGGGGCGCACAGATTTGTGCATGGTGTAGTAAGGCCGTGATGGCTCAAACTCCTCCGCGGGCATCACAACTCGAGCGTTTTTAGCTTTTTCCAGTTTGGCTCCTTCTTCAGTTGAGCCTTTATCTCCCCATCGGACCTGAACAAAAACCAAAGCTTTCAGCACTGTGCTGCAACCAGTGGCCAACAGAAGGCATTCATTTAGAGTAAAACTGGTTTAAAATAGGAATACTGCTGATCAACCATAATATTTGGTTACATTTGCTACATAATCTGTGAGCAGCGGTGTTTCTGATTATTTTTTAGCCACGTTAGCAGTGTGACTCAAGTGATTTGACCTGTTGGTTGGCCGGTTCACCACTTTCGTCCAGACTAAAAGATCTCAACAACTATTGCATGGATTGTTGTGAACCCTCAGGATGATGTGTAATAACTTTAGTGATCCCTTAACTTTTCCTCCAGCGCCATCAACTGGTTAAAATGTTTAATTTGTCCATTACTTCGGTTTATGACCAAATACCTAATGACATTCCCATCAGCCTCAGCTCTACTTAGTTACATTCGGTGCTAATTAGCAAACGTTAGCATGTTGACAGACGATGGTGAACACGGTAAACATCAAACCTGCTAAAAATCAGCATGCTGGCATTGCCATCGTGTTAGCATGCTGTCTGTACAGGCTGATAGAGATGCTACAGCTCCAGACTCTCAGTCTTGTTAAGAGATAAGACAAATGTATCTGTCTGTCTGATTTGAGCTGATAATGTCAATTCCAGGAGAAGCCCCTTTTTTTGGGGGCCTTTTCATGCCTTTATTTGATAGAGACATTGAAGATCGACAGGCCCCCCTGGCAGAGAGAGAGAGGGGATGACATG